CTACCCTGTGGTTTGCTGGGTTTTGTTTTTTTTGTGTTTTGTTACAAACGCAGCACCTTCGCAGTGCCAGCACTGATGACACTGTGTGTTCCTAAGCAAGTAATGCTGTTAGCATATGAGCATTTCATGTAATTCACTTCTAGGAGCATATTGTAATTTTATAAACGTTTGGGTGAAGTTGTTTTAGGAGCTTAACTCATCCTCTCTTCTAATAGTTTGGATTAGCTTGGCAACAGGCTAGTTCATATCAGGATGTGACATTACTGGGGTTGCACAGGGAGCACTGAAATTGCCGTTCTGTGCAAATGCAGCGTTACCTGAAGTTTCATTTCTTCCCAGTGCTTCCTGAAGGAACATGTGTGAGCAGCACTGGACAGAGCATGTTGGGAGGAATGCCTGGTTGCTGCAGGTGTTTCAGTAGGCTCCATCCTGGATGCTGCCATCTCTGCCTTCCAGTGTACGTGCTGAAAAGTCAGACTTGGGTGATTGTGTTGCAGTCCAGAACATGGTCAAGTAAACTGGTTGTAGAGTAACGCATTGACATGTGAAATGCCTCAGATGGTTTCTGACTTCAGTGATGCTGGTGATCGTGTCTGTGTAATACAGTATTCTGCTGAAATACGGATGCTGAAGGTGAGTTTTGTCTAGTATCAAAGCATGTTCAGTTGAGTAAGAGCACTTCTAGACTGCCTTTGCACATGTCTGGGCACACGCTCTCCGTTCGGATGGCTTTTTTCCCTTCATACTGACTGTACAAACACAACTGATGGGTTTGAGTAAACGCCATGCAATTGTGTAGGTGAAAGAACCAAGTTCCAGATGGAGTACCAGGAAAAGTGTAAATTATTACTATCTGTGTTGTGACAGTAACGCAATGTGACTTGCATTGCTGTAGTAATTTGTAAATTGTAGCTTGAATTATCTATAGTATTTAATATGCTTTTGATCGCTGTTTACCCAGCACTGAAGGAGTCGCTGTCCCTCTGCCCTTTTACAGCACATCCCCTGACACCCCTGGTAGGTTAGTAGAACTGACACAGTCTTGCTGTGAGCCCTGTTCTGCACGTTGTAGTGTGTTTCTCCTGGGTATGGGGCTGCAGGCAGCTGATCTCTCCTTTTAGGAGAATCTGCTTGCTAAGCTCTTACTCTTTTTCCAAAATGATGCTACTATTGCCCGAGACTCTTATATCTGTTGAGGAAGGGGAAAGCTTAGAGCTCTGATAACTAAGACTTCCTTTCCTTTTTTTTTTTTTCCTGCCTCCCAGTATGTAAGCACTTGAAACACACCACTGAAATTTGACAAGTTGAGCTTTACTGAAAGCACAAAACAGCTGAACTCTTCTGTACTGCACTGGAGGGTGTTGTGGAGGCCAGGCGTGCATAATGCTTAATGATGTAAGACAAACTCAAAGCAAGTTCATTAGTAGTATTTAGTTTAGAGACTTCCTTAAGTGGCTAGTTGCCAGGAACAGTGTATTCTTGGTAAGGAATGTTCTCAGGAAGGGTAACTGTTGTGTCTGTGCATCTGCTACTGACCACTCTTACAGAGGACATGCTGGCTGAGGTTCATTTTCTATTCAGCCTCCTATGTCTTAAATCTAAAGAATTTCTCATCATCAGGAAGGCTTCTCATAAGGCTTACGAACCTATTAGTACCTGCAGAGTTATAGAATGTCAATTTTTTGAGAACTAGTATTAATGTATATTAACAGATTTTTATACACTATAGCTAATGCTTAGAAATACCTCATTTTTTATGCAGGGCACTTTTAGGACTTTAAATGTGGATATGAAGCTGGTCTAGTTGCTCATGAAAGCATTGATTACTAAAGTGAAAATTTGCTTTAAAATAGTTTATTTCTGCATATTCACTGGTTATGTGAAAGTCCAGAGCACTGAGTGAGCAGACTTCTACATACATGTACACATTTGTATATGTAACTTTAACATACTTCCTCATTTGTCTACTGAGTCTCAAACTACTTTTATTTTTCTTGAAGCTTCTTCAGCATTGATTGGATCAAGGTTTATTTAGCTGCTTGTGTTGTTTTGAATTTTGGCATCATTAGCTATGCATACTGTAAGCTAACATATCATTCTTTTTAAATTCTTGGGATCTCAGCCTTGTTAAGTCTTGACATATTGGAGTTTCCTGTTTTCTGTAGTGAGAAGGCTCTTGAAAGAGATAAGACTGCTGATTGGATCTGAGCTAATGCTGAATCAAAATGGAATCTTAACTTTTTGTTGCATGACTAGGTGAGAAAGCTGCATTATGGGCTAGTCTCCAGACAAGTAGAAACTAGTTTTAATGTGTCAAAACAACAGTGAAAGTGAGGTTTGCAAATATTTTTCAGCAGTTGATTCTGTGATTGACTTCATTCAATGGAAAATTATTCAGGACAGGTTCTTGCCCTGCCTTCAGGGAACTTTTTTTTGGAAGAACTCTTGAATCTGCCTTAGGTTTCCTAATGGAATATGAAGATGAGGGTACTAAAATTGTTCATGCTTCGGTAGGGATTGAATAATGGTGGGTAGGCAAAGGATCTAGACCAGACTTAAGGAACCAGGAGATTTTAAGCTAGTCAAGCCATTTCATCTTGGGGGAGGGAGTGGGGGCAGAGGAGGGTGCTGTCTGATTTTGGGAGCTTGTCATTTCCTTTTTACGCTCAGTCTGAGACAGATGTTTTAAAGTCCCATGTAAAGACAAGGTTGTGGGCCAGAAGCCAGTCTGTGTTTGGTCCATAGCGAGCATGCAAATTCCTGCAATTCTAGAACGGTCTTAATTTGAGTTCTGCTTTTGTACTCAAAACTGTTTACGGGCTCTGTAGCCTGTCTGGAAAGCTTTATAGTTTTCATCGGTATAAAAAAAAGGATTTATTTTGAATGTAGTTACTCAAACTATGTTTCCACGTGAAGAAAATAAGGTTTAAGGAAAAATATCAGCATCTTGAATGATGCATTCTTGCTTTTAGTAACTTAACTTTCACCACTTAGTGTGCTGGCTTTATTTTACACTTTCCCAAGTGTTTGTTGGTATGAGTTTTGTTTTCTTTCCTGCTGTGATTTCCAAAATGGTTTGTGTGGTTTCTGTGAGGATTTAAATTTCTTTGTTGGAGAGCAAATCAAGAGTTGCTTCTATTGTCATGGCAGTTTGTTTCCCAAAGCAGTCGTTGACTGCTGTACAAAAAATATGATCAGGGAATTATTCCTCAATGTGCCTAATCAACACAGAGATAGTGGAGGCCTCCCATTTTTTTTTTTTTTTTCTTTTCGGATCTTGTAGCCTCCTTGACCTGTCTCAGTGTATCGCAACCAGTATTGTCACCGTAGTTGAGACGGTTGATAGCACAGATCAAATGTTCTGTTTTTCTGTTAGCCCTGCAGTTTCAGTTTGTAGGGACTCTGCTACTCATTGTGGTTAACTTACAGTCAAATAATTTCAGACTTTTATATTATTCTCATTAGTGTGCATTATTCTGTCCATCACCATGGTTAATCCCGATGTTCGTATCCTGCTGCTTTCTTTCCACAAATTTCAAATATGTCACTATATCGGTGTCCTCAAATGAGGACACCACACTCTGGTCTCTGCATTTTAGCTAAACACCGCTGACCTGTTTGCTCATCCTTTTTGATGGCAAGTGTCCTCCTCCTTCCCATTCTTTGATTGGAGAGTGGAATCTTTTCCTTTCAATATGGAGTCGTGCTATGGAGGTAAACAGCTGCTTTGGACAGTTTGGATCTTCTCTCTCATTCATGTCCTTGTGGTTTTGGTACCTGGATGCAGCCATAGTGCTTTACTAGAAACTTGTCCATATATGTTGCAAGGGTTTTTCTTCAGTTTTTTGTTGGTCCCCCTCTGCCACCTACCCCCCTGCTCTCTGATTCTGTAGGGTTTTGGGTGAGGATATGTGGCTTTCCTCTACCAGAGAGGGCACTGGAACTGTTTCCCCCCTTAGCTAATCTTGTGTCATCTTTATAGAAGATGGAGACTGTTGCTGCGTAGGCAATTGCTCTTCAGTGACTCTGAAGGGGTGCCCATGAGCTAACCTGTTGGCTACCCCAGCAGCACTGGGGTAGTGTATTGATGTAACCTCAGAGCTGATTATGAACCTCCCAGTCTTCTCTATATTTCAGCTCAGATGTCTTAAAACAACTCTTTGAAGATCTTGAGCTGCCTCTGCTGTGCATTGCTTTCTTGAAAGGCAGGAAGAAGGCCTTCAGTGCAGAGCAAAACTTCTGTCTAGGGTTGTTACCGCTCTTTGCTATGTGCATCAAGGAATGAGGACTGAAGACCATTTTGGACATATTTTTTCTTACATGGCTTTTATCCATTTGTGTTTGAGCCTGTGTAACCTTTTGGCTTCCAAGCACTGTGCAGTAAGAAGCTTCGTAGCTTGACTACACACTGTGTGAGGAACCATGCCCTTTTGTTGAGTACCTGCTATTGGAAGAGGGAAGAATGATGGTTCATTCATAATGTCGTCCCTCATGTACTTTTTTTCCTATTGAAGAGCCAAATCTTCTGGGCTGTTCCTTTGTTTGCATGGAAGCCAAGAAAGGCAAGTCTCTGAGAACACAACCGTAAAGTCACACTTGATTGCAGCTGACCAAAGGATTCAGAAGATGCTTGGCAATTGGAGAAGCAGAAATTATTTCTGAAAGTAAACATGCTGGAACGGCATCATTGCAGAAGCTTGATTTCCTTAAGGAAGTTGGTCAAAATGGCTGCACTTGATTCAATAGTTTAAGAATGCTTACTATTTTAAAATCCTGGTTTGGCTAATTGTTTTTAATTTCTTTTTTATTCCAGAGATTTTGAATCCTCTTGGGAAACATGAAAACAGAGAACTACTTTTTAATATCTTTCAGGACAGTTGACACATTCCAGGGAAAAGCGTGTTTTGGGTTTTTTTTTCCTGCAAAGTTCAGAAGAATCTGCATTCTCTGGGATTTTAAATTAGCATAAAATGAAAATAGTTTGAAATTTAGCCTTCAAAATGAATGTTGAAAAATCAGATGACAAAGCAAAGAATGGCTTGAAGTCTTCCTTAATTATAAAGGATGAAAATGGAAATAGCTACGCATGTGACAGAGCTACACCTTCCTCAAAGAATTGTGCCACCAAGATATGTGATGATTTGACTGACCAAAATACAGTGACTGAGCATGAAGATGATACTATTCTTGAAAATAAGAGTGACTTCAGAAGTATTCTTTTAAAACAGCAGTGTATTGAAGCACTTCATTTGCAGAAGACACCTGGTAAATACAACTGCACAGGAGCTCTGTTGGGAGATGCAGATGCTGCATGCAAGTCTTCTGTGACTGAACAGACTTGTGTGTATTTGAACTGTGACTTGAAAGAAACGACAGACTTACTGACAGGTAATGTTGCTATGGCAAAAATGCAAAATCAGAGTACGAAACAATCGGTGCCTTACAGTCAGACTGACTCCAAGTGTATATTACCTCTTCCTGCTCCAGAGCAGAACACGCCATCCCTGATAAAGGATGGGGCACGCTGCCACCTGAGCACATTGGATGTTACTAATGTTATAGGTGAAACTCTGGGAACTGATCAAAATGATGACATCCATCTGAGGGAAACGCTAATCTCTTCTGAAGTATGTACGAGAGAGAAATTTGATAGAACCAGCTCAGAAAGAACACCTAATTTCTTTTATACCATGGTGGCTTCAGAAAGCCCAGATGCCTATTCAGAACTTGAAGTATATTGTCCTGCCTCTGCAGGTGTCAAACACTATCTAAAAAACACTAACAAGACTGAGAAAGAATCCCAGGAGGCGGAAGGATGGTCTGTAAAGCTAGCTGCTGAATGTATAGATCCTTCTAGGCAAGAAGCATTACTGCCATGCATTAATATTAATGAAGATGACCAAGTGAAATCCTTGCAGGATATGCCTGACCGTGATGAAACTGGGAATTCCAGTGCTGAAACATGCATGGATAGTCCTGTACATAATGTGCACCTTCTCCCAGTAGATAAAATGGCTGGAGAACAAGTATCAAAGAAAACCAGTGAACCCTTAACCAAAGAACAGAATATCTCTGGAAATGCTGCTTTTCAGGATATGCACAACACTTCTTTCATATCTCGCAGTGTACCAAAATTAAAGAGGACTGTTATGCCTGAGCTGAAATGCGAAGCAACTTTTGTGGTTTTCAGTCCTATGGCTGACGAAAGCGATTCTGCTCTGTGTACTTCAACCCCTAAAGAACAATCAAAAGATACAACTTTCTCTGTTTCAGCTTTGGCAGAACTTGGAGACAAGTCTCCTAAACTAAGACCAAATGATGCATTTGTAGGAGGGCATAATAGAAGGCCTTTGCTCAAATCTAGTCCAGGTCAAATCACAGGAAAACCAGTGGGCAGGTCTCCTATTGTGTCAACAATAACCAAAGCAAAGAAATCTGAGATTGTTAGTTTTCCCAAACCTAATTTCAAAAACGTTAAGCCAAAGGTTATGTCTAGGCCTGTGCTACAGTCAAGAGACAGTACAGCATCAAAACAGTCTCCTCAGTCCCCCCAACTATCAGCTGTCTCCTCATCTTCGCTGGTTACTTCCCCGAGGCAATTGTCCCCGTCTATAAAAGTGCTGAAAAAGAAAATAGATCTAGCTAAAGATACTAAAGTGGAATTGCCTGTGAATAAGCCCCATAAGCTACATCTTAACAAACACCTCTTCACTAGCCAAGTCATACGTGCTACAACACATCCCAGAAACGCTTCCCACAAGGCTTCAAAGACACCTGCATTAAAGCAGAATCCGGAAGACATTGGCAAAGCAAGCTCTACCCATTCGGCATGCTCCTTGGTTTCTGCTGCGCTTCCAGCATGTGTAGAGAACTCGAAAGAAATGCTGAATGATAAAATGGAAAGTTCAAACTCTTTAATGCAGCCCTGTGCTCAAAACATCTATCTGTCAGGAGGTGAAAGGGAGCAAAACAGCAACATGGGAATTCTTCTAGAAGCAGCCTTGTTAAAAGATGTGGTAAATGAAACATTTGACCTGCATTCTGTTCCTTTGGTAAGCTTTTTTCTTTACGTATTCGAATATGTTTTGTACATTTGGAAAAATGGAATTCTGCATTGCACAATGCTGAATGGAAATTGTGGAATGGGTTTTGTAGTAAATGTAACTGTAGTATTGATGTCTGAGGTAAAGTCTCCCCCTAATAAAGGGAATAAAGAAGTACAGTTTTACAAACAGGTTGCACTTGGCCTCAAGTGCTATTTAGTGTCTTCAGCCTTCATCTTATTCCATGGTATAAATTCTTTTTTTGTAAAGTCTTTTTAAGACAATACAGTTGGTAGGATTTCTAATAAAAACAAACAAGTCTTAATTTAGCCGAACTGATAAATCTGCATAGCATAACCTGATAAGGTTTTTCTAAATATAGCTTTTAATATCTGCTTTTATAAATACAATTCTAGTGCTGCTGTAAATTTAAATAGACATTAGAGATATATTGCTGTTTTCAGTATTTTTTCCTTTCAAAACATGTTTTAGAACTAAATTACACTCCTTAAAGGTATTTAGAGAAATATTGTGCATATATTAACAATAATATTAAGTCACCCAAAACCCCAAGACCAACAATTCGGTCAAGCGTTTTATTTTTAACATCTTAATTTAACTGTCTGCTTTGAATATAATTTGGGAACTCGTTTATTTGAAGTAGAACCAGGACTCCTTAGAATAGCTAAGAGTAGCCAGGAAATATTTCTTATGCAGAGGGCATATACCTGGTTTTGGGCAGTCAGCCAGCTGGAAGGTGCAAACTTCCTGGCTGGGAGGTATGCATGTGCTGGTTGGTTGGGAAATATTTTCAGACAAGTCAGCTGCCTGTCAGGAGAAACGTGCTGCTTTCAAATACTCTGAAAGAAGGTTAAAAGAAAAGGAATGGTGGAAAAGAAGGTAAGAACATTGGTGTTGGATTGACCAAGACCTCAGGAGGCACGGTAGGGATGCAGAGTTGGAGCCTTGATCGGATATGGAGTCCCTTCTGTTTGCATGTGGGTTCAACAGCTTATGTTAAAATGGTGAAATGGAGGCAGCAGCTGTTACTGGTAAAACTGGCATCTGAATTTTTGTCAGGTTTAACTGATTTGCCAGAAAAACTCTAGTAAAAGCTCAGTATATGGAGGAAGCTACTTCAGGTACAACAGAAGCACCTATCCATTTTTGAAACATTACATAAGAAACTAATAAATTATTTCTTTATTATAATTAATTAATTAACTTGAAAACACATTAACATGAAAGCAAGGATAGTCTGTTTTAAAGTCTCTCAGAGCTTGGATTCTGCTTCACCCCTTCCTTTTGGTGCCGAGGATTGGAGAGAATGCTTTTAATTCATCCTGTTGCCAAGATGGAAACCTTTGTGGTATTACTTGTTCTGCTGGTATCTGGAAAATCCATAGAGCAATTTCTTAAAATGTGTAGTAGACCAGTCAGCTGGACTAAACTTAATGAGTGGTCTTCTGAAAAGTACAGATTAACTTCTGAAAATGAAGATGAGGTTTGGAGTCAAAAGTGGAAAGTGCATTAATATGACCAAATCACTGTGTATCATCCTGAGTCACAGAAAAGCATATAAAGAGCTGTACATTCTTTTGAGTTTACTTTTATAGCCTTAACTTTACAGCATGAGTGGTCATGAATAGGTCATGAGTAGGGAAGAGATTGTGCCCCTGTACTAGGCACTAGTGAGGCTGCACCTCGAATACTGGGTTCAGTTTTGGGCCCCTCGCTACAAGAAGGACGTTGAGGTGGTCGAGCGTGTCCAGAGAAGGGCAACGAAGCTGGTGAGGGATCTGGAGAACAAGTCTCATGAGGAGTGGCTGAGGGACCTGAGATTGTTCAATCTAGAGAAGAGGAGGCTGAGGGGAGACCTTATCGCTCTCTACAACTACCTGAAAGGGGGTTGTGGTGAGGTGGGTGTTGGTCTTTCTCCCAAGTAACTAGTGATAGGACAAGAGGAAATGGCCTCAAGTTGCGCCAGGGGAGGTTTAGATTGGATATTAGGAAAAATTTCTTTACGGAGAGCGTGGTCAAGCATTGGAACAGGCTGCCCAGGGAGGTGGTGGAGTCACCATCACTGGAAGTGTTCAAAAAAATCTGTAGATGTGTCACTTTTGGGATATGGTTTAGTGGGCATGGTGGTGTTGGGTTGATGGTTGGACTTGATGATCTTGAAGTTCTTTTCCAACCTTAATGATTCTGTGAATTAGTGCCCATATGAATTGGAGCAAGAATTCTGTATGAAAGGTAGATGAGTGCTACATATAAACCAGTTATTTTTAAACATGTCCTAGGTCCACACATGAATTTGTTTTATCTATCACATGTGAATGTGAAAGACTTTTAACCTGTTTCTGTGTTGTGACATTTGTTTTATCTATCACACGTGAGTGTGAAAGACTTTTAACCTGTTTCTGTGTTGTAACATATGACCTAGACTGGGAAACCTGTTAGAGTGGCTGTGACGTTTCAGGTAGTACAGGCCAACTAACTTCTCAGTGCATTAACTTGTGTAGTTGTTTGGTGAAGAACTCATCTAGACATTAGGTGCAGTCGTGTAGTTGAATGGCTTGATTAGAGTTTGGGGAGGAAGAGGAAGAAACTCTGATGCAAAGTGATCCCTGTATCCTCTTTAATGTGCTTGAAGCTAATTACTGGTAATGATGAGTTAATAGTATTGTGTTGCTGAGGGCCATTCAGGAGATGATTCTTGAGGTTCTGAACTGCAGGTGTGGACAACATGACAGCAAACAGCTAAGCGTATCCCTTACCTGTGTGGTCAGTATTTCATTACAGATGCTGGGCTTCTCACAGTGGTGGTGTGTGGATTTTGTTTTGTTTTGTTTTTTAAACAGGTGCCTTCTGTGAAAGATGGGACAACACAAGGGAAAAACATACCGAAGAAAGGCCCAATTACACTACGAAGTGTAACAGCCCCCAAGGTTAAAATGGTGCCATCTGTGGTGCCGCTGAAGAGAGGATGTGAAAATAAAACTGTCTGCACAGCTAAAGCACCTTCTCACAAAGGACCTGTTCTGTCATCAAGCTCTGGTAAGAGAATTTTTCATTGGAATTCTACCACTTTGCTAGTTTCTCAAAATTAAGGTACCATATTTAACGTACTTTCTGACAGAACTTTTAGAATGGTACAGAGCTGTATTTTTGGTGCTAAATACAATTCTATGTAAATCACACATATACTAATACGGGGGAAAAAGAAGGGCAGGTTACACCCCATCATTGTAAAATCTTATCTTGTAAGGAATGTGTTTAGGAGGGTGTGGTGCTATTAGAAGAAACAATATTTAAATATTATTATTTATAGTTTGATTATAAACAGTACTTTGTGGAATTACAACTAAAAGTACTCAAAAAATGTAGAAGTGACGAGGAGAAAATACAGAGCTCAGGTACAAAGCATTTATGATAAGCAACTGTATGCTATCCCAACGGGAATGAGCTCTTATTTCAGGACATAGCATATTTTGTTCAACCTAATTTTGCTACAGTTCTATAGTTTCTAGAAAGGAGAGAACATAATGGAAGGAGAGACTACTGCTTGAGCTGCTAATTAAGCTCAGACAGATTAATACCAAGGGGGCGGGTGGGGAGGGGATCTCAAAAGTAGCCTGTAGGCTGCTGTTCAAATCTGGTGACTGAAAACTGCATTCTGTAATTGTACTGTAGAAATGCAGAAATGCTCTTGTAGGTTATTTTTTTAACCAAGTGTGGCAGTATAGCTAATGGCAAAGGTAGCCTGGCCATAAATGACTGCACTACAATACACTGTAATTTGGAAAGTGTGCACACCCAGCTATACCCAGTTAAACCTGTTTGTTGTTTTTTTTTTAACCTGCTCAATCTAAGATTATAAAACAGTCCAAAATACTCCTCTTAATTACATACAGGTGATGAAGCGTGATAAAATCTGCATCTGTAGTCCTTTATGGGATGAGTCCCTCAAAGAAAGTGGATATAGGCTATTCTCTGACTTGATCCTGAGGGACCAGGGGACTTGCTCAGTGGACTGCCTGTAAGCCACCAATTTCTTGGAAGACTCGTCACCTCTCTAAATACCAATTTAGAGCTTTCCTATCTGTAATTATGGTCTTAGAAGAACTGAGATGGATACATGCATAGATGTATATTTGTCCTTTAGATTATTAATCCAGAGTAGATTTATAACACCATCACTAGAAATAAATGTAAGCGTGGCGGGGTTATAGGACTAACTTCTTTCCTGCATAAAAAGGTCAGATGCACTTTCAGAAGTGGAAGCCATCTGCTGTTGAAAATAAAAACTTTTACTCCCCAAGTTTCTTTAGCTAAAGCTGTCACTTCTTAACTCATTGCGTGTTGAAATTACAGTAGTCAGTAGAATACCTTCCAAATTTTTCCTATTGGAAAAAGGCTGCTTAAGGTAAAAGCATGAAGCAGCACCTCAACATTTCAAACTCGTGCTACAATCTGATGAGACAGGAACTTTAATGCTGCCCATGAGAAGAACTTTTTTTAGTGCCCTCTCCCCAGCCCCCCTGGCAATGCCCACTCTTCCCAGCACATCTTACCCTTTAGTTTCCTTATGCAATGTTTTGGTGCTACAAAGTAGGATTTGCTGCATTAAACTGTATCACATTAACTTCCCCATCCCTTGACAAGGCAATGCTTAAACATGGTTCTTTTGCTCCCTGGTAAACATAGTACTGATGCAAATTGGAGGATGGGAGTATGGGGTGGGAGAAGCAAGGATGGGGCAAGGTAGGAGTTACTTGGTATTGCTACCAAAGCCCTGCTGTATTATGTGACCACACTTTTCAGGTAAAACCCTGTCCCCTGCTCCTTACCCCATCTGTTTTTCAAGTTTTTGAAGTAAAACTGTACATACACTTACTGTGGCCAAGCGGCAGCTTGTAGACTAAACCCAGTTATCTGTTTTAGCTAAAGCCTTCCTGTAGGGAATAACTGTTTCTTCCAGTTAAGTCATTTGAACACTTTGGTATTAAACTTGTGCCTTTATATCATTCCAGCAGTGCAGATAAATAGCTCAGTAGCTGTACAGTTGTTTGCTCTCAGGATTTCTCCAGACTACAGACAGACTAGCTAAATCCAGGATGGAAAGGACTTCTGGAGGTCACCTAGTCCAGCCCCCCCTTGCCTGTAACTGGGTCAGCACTGAATTCAGACTAGCTTGTTCAGACATTTGTCGAGCAGTCTTAAAAATGTCCAAATCCTAATGGCCTTGTTGCTTCCTGAGGTACTAATATAAATGTAGCGAATTCTTAACCAGTTGCTGGCTGTATGTGGATTGTTGGGCAGGAAGTCAAATCAGTGTAGTAAGACCGTTAAATACTCTGAAGAAGAGAAGTGATGGTATAGCTCTGTGTCATCCATCACATGTATATGTTGATGGAGAGAAGCAGGCTGTCAGTCCAAAATGTATTAGTATATGTATTATTCCCAGAGAAATCAAGAGCTTGTGAGCAGTGAATTGTATCATGCACTGTCATTTTGAGTGGGAAGCAGGAAACTTTCCTACAACCAAGAAATAAAAGAAAAAACACCCTGTACAAAAGACCAATTATAAGATCCTTGCAACTTGGCAGGAGTTGAGATTCTTCCCCGCCCTGCCCCCCCACTTGTAAATGTAAACCGTAAGTTTTCAGTGGTAATGCACTAACCCAATAGGAAGCATGTCTTCTAAGGGAGTTCCCTGATACTCTCTTGAACAGAAGACAGCAGAAGGAGAGGAAAACTTGTATCTCAAGCATTATATTTTTGTGAGGTTATTTACAGAGCACGTTAAGCTAGAAATAACTTTTTTTTATTTATTTCAAAATGGTTGCTGGCTGCTCTTCACCTGTATTGGTGTATCTTGGCTGGAATTTGGAGTTTTTGCTGGATTAGAAATTGGTTCTCCAAAAGGTGAGCCCTACTTGATTCAACGTACCGAAGCGATTTGTGAAATGATGAAGCCTCATTTCTGCAGCAAATCTAGAAATCAGGTCATAGTTGCAAGCTAGATGCCTCAAAATTATTTCTGTAACTATTTGTCTCCATTCCTCCATAAGAGAGATGACCTGTAATCACATACTCATTCTCGAACAAAAATCTTAATTCTCTACAGCTAACTTTTCTGTAGTACCGGATGGCAGGTGGTATGCCTTTTGCTATGTTAGTTTTCTATTAGTGAAAACATTTATTAGAATTCAAGACACTGAAGTTGAGTTAACCTGGTTCTTACTGGAAGGTGTGTGTAATTTTGGAGCCCTGGATCAGGACTTTGAACTAGTCCAGAAATGAAAGCAACTGTTGTTTTTGTTCCCAGCAAATGCACACAGCCTTCTAATTGGATGTACATAACCACTGTGGAGGAGTAATAGCCTGCAGATAGCTGAGGTATTATGGTTTGAGAAGAGTCATGTCTCTCACCTGAAGGGGTGGATGGAAGGGGACTGGAGAAGCCAAGGAGATGCGGTGGTCCCACAGAACATAACTCCCAAGTTCTTCTGCTGTCAGCCTTCCCCAGCAATCGCATGCTACCGCCCATGCAGTTGGACAGAAACACTGCAACAGTTTGCGCCACAGGAACTTGGTTTGTGTTTGAACAGCGTGAAATAGGGATATAAATGGTTTACTTTAGATCTAAAAATGTAAAAGCCCAGCACTGTGGTGGTGTTTTTCTCTGAGTCTTGACTACAACCTACCTGTGAGTATGTAAAGGAATGGAGCTTTACCTGCAAGTTAAGATTTCTGATATGCTAATACATCACCTAAACTTCTGCTTCAAAATACCATGCTTTCAATTATTTTCTACAGTATGAAACTTCACATTGTTGTTGATGTCTTATCTATGAGAGTTCTGTTAAGCCTGATGTGTAATTGAAACTATTTTGGGATATGAAAGCATAAAAAATATTATTCCTCCACTTACTGTTAAAGACTTCTAGAAATTAATGAAAGTCATGTAAATCATCTTTGTAACCAAAACGTCTTTCACCATCTGACAGTTATTTCTGACATTTTAGGTACCATTTTGCATCTGATTTAAGTCACTGATAACCAAGTAAAGCTCTGTGCTTTACTTATCTTTTCCATGAGTCTAGTCCAGTGGTAATCCCTCTTTTACTTGCTAATATTTTCACAGCATTTAACTACAGCAGCGAAAGCTTGGGTAGAGAAACTCAACAGTGTGAATTCTGTGTTTCCTTGAAGATTTTGGACAAGCAAGACCGGTTCCTTATGAAAAGTTGATCATACTGAAGGACTTTCTGGTGGTGTTCAATTAACTGAAGCATGCAAAAAATAATTCCCCATATGTTACAAGAAATATGTTTAAGTTGCATTAGACTGTAAAAGGTTTAGTAATGCTTTGAAATACTGATTTGCTTGTTAGTTCGTCAGTACTAAATTCCTCCTGTTGCATTTTGGTTTATCTTACACTTAAATGTGTAATTCAGAGAAGCTTCCAAAGTTAAAATCAGAACAGGCCGTGACAGATTAAGGCTGTGTTCATTATTGAGTGGTGTTGCTATTTCTTGCACAAAGAAAGGCTTTTCAGGTGGAAAATTGAAACCAAATGGTTTCATTGGGTTTTCATACAGCTGGAAATGTATATAAACTTGGTGACTCGCGACTTCTTGTTATAGCCTTTCACAATACTAGTGAAGCAGAACCAAAACAATTTAGTTTCAGTAAGTGTTCCTACAGTATTGAGCCTGCGTTCTGACACTGAACCAGGAGCTAAACCAAACATGGTTACTGCAAATCTCTTTTCAGCTTGTATCATGCCTGCTATCTACCATATGACTCTTTAAAGTTGGATTGACATGGTACCAAGAGGAAACAAAATATTTTAAAAGGCAACCATAGCTTCCAGGTTTTCTGGCCCGAAACAGTAAAGACTTTGTGAAAACAGCTGGACTGGAGAGTTATTTGTAAGGGTATCCATATACCTTTCCTTTCTCAGGAAAAAATCTGAAATACACCAGAGTCTATAAATAAGACTTAATTTAATTTCAACCACTCTTTTTATGCTTTTTGTCTTTTCTTTT